TAGTCTTCGGCGATCAGATACGCGAGGCTGCGCGTCAACTAACAGACGCAGTGGAAGCCTCTTCTCAGGGCACGTTCCGACCGGACAGAGAGAAGGACGACCTGTCACTCGCCCTGCAGACTCCAGAGCATCCAGGATGAACACGAGGGAAAAGGGTGATTCCTTGGAAGATTGGGTTCAAGGAGGACATCCACACATACAGGAGTCGGATGAGGAGCAAGAGAGATACCGAGGCGAAGATTGTAGATCTTGAGTTCAGGGTATCGAGCTACGAGCTCAGCATGCAAGAGGAGGTGGCAAGGAAGGTTGATGAATGCATGGCCGCACATCGGTCCCATGATCCCCAGCCGACCATGCCTCCTGCTATGGTGAGCCCGTCAGGAAATCGTAGCAGCTGCGCCTCAACGGGGTAGGTAGGATCACACAGCATGGACGCCATGCAAACCCAGGACGAAACCACCTGCCCCGTTGATGACATCACTCAGCGGACACCATGTGAGCTGCATATTCCCTTCAAGAACTTATCAATAAAGGTAAGCTCGTAGTTTATAGATTTTAGATTTGGCCATTCCGCTAGTTGCTGCTTATATATGTTGATTACTAATAAATAACCTCTCACCACATGAAGGTGGCGTCGAGCATGGCCATCCCAACGGACCCTTCAGGTACTTACCACTGCAGGCCGATTCCAGCAGGATACTCCAAGGTCGAAGGCGCGTACGAGGACCTCGAGCTGGATTACCCTGGAGGAGACGGTGAGACGCATCTACGAGACACAAGCCATGCTATTATTCTATGGCGCAAGCGGTACATCATCCTCCCTAGGCGACAAGCGGCGTCTCGTGCACCATCTCCTCCGGCTCCGCCATCTCCTCCTCAGGCTCCTGCACCGTCTCCTCCTCATGCTCCAGCACCGTCTCCACCTCAGGCTCCTGCACCAACTCCTCCTCAGGCTCCTACACCGACTCCGCAAGCTCCTCTTCCGGCACCTTCCAAGTCAAGGGCCCCCCAAGCTCCACCGCCTGCCCCCACAAGGGCAACGAAGAAGGCGAAAGTTGACGCCGCCAAGAACAAGGACCCGGGGTATGATTGCACGCAAGAGGAGCTTGATGCTTACGTGGCATCAGAAGTCAGGAGACAATTCAAGCCTCGAAGTCTAGAAAAGAAGATTCCTATAGACCCGAGTGTCAGGAACTTCTTCAGGGGTATGTCTGCACCTGCCAAGGAGGCCATAAAGCTATCGGACTATGAGCGAACACTCAAAAAAGCATCTTCTGGAAAGTCCAAACCAGTCCCTCAGCTTGGAGAGCAACCAAACCAGGAGATCGAGCCGTTGGTGACCGGTGAAGATTTTGGAATACAAGACTTTATTAATGACACCGGGCTAACTACGGATCAATTGCTACGAGACGCACCAATCGAAAAGGCAGAAGTGAAATACATGTACGAACTCGGTAAACTGCTTGTCAAGCCTGAGCTGCTGCAGTCCCTACCCACACAAATGTACAAGTTCCATCAGCTGTACATGGAGATGAGCGCCACCGGTAGAGAGATGATCGGAGCGAGGATCAGGGACACAGACTTCTTGCAAGGAGATGACATTCTCTGGATCAATTTCAAGGGAATCTACGAACTATACCAGCTGGACGCCCTCGACGTCTCTATTATGAGTTGCTGGATTTTGTAAGTATATTGTTCAGTTAGATTTCTTACTACGTCTCCTTTAATTAATTAGGTCCTTGTATATAAGTAGACTATATATAATATATACTCCCTTTTATCGTTGTAGAATGGAGATTCAAAGGGCCCGACGGCGGGGGGTTTTTGATACTGGATTCATCGACCCTCGGAAAGTAAACGTTGCAATGCTCGACCAATATCCGCAAGCCACAAAGGACAATCTCGTCCATCTCCTGAAGGCGCAGCATTACAAGACGTTCATATTGTTGCCGTACAACACAGAGTTAGTTTAATTTTACTGTCTTCCTATACCAAATTTTATTCCCATACGAACATGCTAAGTGTTTCATATGTAATGCATCCCACGTACATTGCAGATTCCACTGGGTGCTTTTACTCTTCGACCTGGAGGCCTACACCGTCAACGTATATGACTCAATGGATAAAAAAGAGTCTACGTTTGACAAGGTTTTCGAACTTATAGACAGGTACTGTCATAAGTTCCTATGTTAATTAAGAATCTTGTTATAGTTAATTGCTACTACAAATCATAGCTTTAAACTCCATGTAGGGCTTGGTATCGGTTCCGTCATTTGGTCCGCGGCAAATGGAGAGAAAGACTTAGGCGGAAGTTCAAATTTCCTGTGAGTACACATGCTCTACATTTATATTTCTCCGATTCAAATACATACAAGTGTACATTAATTAGATCTCTCGTCGTTTGTCATTTATTTATAGTGCGCAAAGCAAAAGCAGGGAACTAACTTGTGCGGCTACTACGTGTGCGAGTATTGCCACTGCCTTGCAGACCAAATCATCACCACAAGAGAGCTCGATGTACGTACAAATAAATTCAAAATTTCATTACGTATCGATTTGTTGTTTAATTACTAATCAATTTCATACATTCATATAATTTATTCGCATGAGGGATAACCTGATCACACACAAGGAATTTATCACGGCGGTTCAAGAACAACTCATGGGATTCATCAACGGACAAATCCTTGATCCCAAGGGTGAATTCTACTACGACAGAAATACAATTCATAGGTCCTTAGCTTCTGAGATAGCGACTACTACTACGTTGAAATCGTAGCTAGCTAGGACATATAATGAATTGTAATTAATACATGACTATGTTTCTATATGCATGTGTACACATTTTCTATAATGTAAATATATATTTTGGTCATATATATATATATATATATATATATATATATATATATATATATATATATATATAAACCATGCAGCAACAGGGCCATGCAAAAAAAAGGTCAGCTACACCAACCGGGACTAAAGATGGCTTAGCCGGCCACGTGGCTGAGCCATCTTTAGTCCCGGTTATTTTATCCGGGACTAAAGATAGCAATCTTTAGTCCCGGATTGGTAGTCCCGGTTTGGAAACCGAGACTAAAGGGGGGTTACGAATCGGGACTACAAACGCTTTCTCCACCAGTGCTTGGAGTCCGTGCTGCAGCTGGCTACAGATCTGTAGCCCGCTGCTCTTCTCTCTCATCTTTTATCTTATTAAAATATATTTATAGCTGGCTAATAGTCTGCTATTGTACCTGCTCTTAGGGAGAAACAACAGTCAGTATTGTGGCTCAGTGGCTGCAACACAGTAGCAGTGCTCATCGATCATTACATGACAATATGACGATCCACAGCACGTACATTACACATTTACACGGCAGCAAAGTACAGTAGCTACTCCTAATTAGTTTCATACAGAATGTTGGATGAATATATATACTGTTCCTATATAATTATCCCCATTAGCTCTGATTATAGGTAGCCATATCATCTTATTTATTTCAGTCACTAGATCAATATCAAACTCCAAATAATAACCATGCATCAAACCATGTGTAATGCAACCTTTGTATATCACTTCTTCATGTTCTATGTCACCATGCATGTATCCGTTTAAAATAGCTAATAATCTTCACAAATGACTCTTAATTTTTTTAGACAAAATGTTATTGCAACGCGCGAGGCATCATTTTGTTTCATGAAGGGATAGTTGCCTATCGAGATGCTCCTAATTAATTAATTGTGGGGTAGCTACTTTGTTATCAAAAACCATTTAAGTATCTGTTGATTCATTAATTTAGTATCGACTTTGCAGTAGCTTATCAATTGTTTTTACAATGAAAATATCCTTATGAACATACAATGTTGTAAGTTGTGTTATCTCGTTAGAAGGTTCAAAAACACTTTTTCCTCAATTTTGCCTACATGATACGATATGTTAGCGTGTACCTCACATGAATCCCATACATTAGGTCATTTCCCTTCTTCGTCTCCCCGTTATCTCCCCAGTAGCTCACAACATTGTTTACACTTTTGGAAAACCTCTGAAAATTGGGTGATTTCGGTGGTGACCAAAAAATCATGATTTTTGGACCTTTTTCACCAAATTATTGAAAATTTTAACAAATTTTGAACACTATTTTGACTACATTTCCCAAAAATTGAAAAAATCTAACAATTTCGGTCGAGATAGTTACATTGCCGAGGGGTCTGAAATTTCAATCCTAACAACATGACATCCCCTGTGAATGTCATCGATCTGTCAAAGTGCACCAACTTCCCACCCACCGCACCACTAAACTCACCTCTATCACATCGAACCCTTGCCTCACCCACCCACCATCACACCACCAGCCTAGATTAAGCCAAACAAGAGAAGAAAGAGTCGCGTTGCCCGTCTGCCAACGACGTAGGGAGAGGGTATCCTTGATGTACTTGATGCCAAGCCATTTTCTGGAGCGGGTGAAGGGTTTGGTGTCATCTCAGTAGCGAAGGAAGCCGTATGAGTTGAAGAGGCTATACTTGATGACCTACAGGCCTTGTAGTCTACCTGACTAATAGAGACGCCGCCATCAGTTGCGTGGACATGGTGGTGGGTAGTGATGGTGGCAAACGATGCGAGGAGGAACACATAGTGCTTGTTGCTATGGTGAGGAGCATGTGTAGAGGGAGTTGTCGTTTTCTGAGGAGCAAGAGAACATGAGTGTGAGGCGGCAGAGCATTGTGGGACCGGTGAGCAATAGGGAGAGGAAGAGAAGATGCCACTTGAGTAAGTGGGCTCCATAATAGAGTGCCACACTAGCATGTTACGATATAGGCGAAAGCGTAAAAGATTAGGAAGTCTGATCTCCAGAGAAAAAACATAAGACGAAACTAATAGTGCCATTTAAAATAAATAATAGTGCCCCTTGAAAAGGTGACAGTTTGGTTAGTGACAAATAGTTACATTCTCGTTGGGCCACCGCGGTTTGCTTCCCACAAGCCTACAGGGGTGAGGGGGCCTGGCCTTCCACAACAAGTCCGGCTCAATACAGCCGCACCGCACAAAACCTGGGCCCCCAACGTCGACGCTGCGGCGCTGCCTGCTACGCTCGCTTTCTCCTCGTCTCCGCTCCGCTTCGCCGGTTGACGGTGCGACGCACGAAGCGACATACTCTGATACTCGCGCACGCTGCAGCTGCACGCACCGCCGAGGCGCCAACACGACGCTGTGCCGTGGCGCGCCGACAATCATCGCGCATCACCGTGGCCCGTGAGAACTGAGGTAAGTACGTACGTCTCCTTCCAGCTTGCCCTGGCACAGCGTGGTCTCCCTATACTCAATTGCTGGCTTCGCCCCCTGCCTGCAGTGGCCCACGCCTCGGATTCGAGGATGCGCTGCCTCCGCCGCCCGGCAACCCACCTGCTCTGCTCCGCTCGGAGCGCCCACGCCGGGAACGCCCCCAGGGTGCTCGACGAAATGCCCCTTCCGCCTCTCGCTCCATCACGCCGCACGACGACTCTGGTCCGCGCGCACCACCTGCTCGGCGCAATGCGCGGGCCGGGGTTCTGCACCACCGTGGGCTCAGAATCAGATGTGGAGCCGCGATTCACGGTGGTGCCGGGCGCCGCCCAGGAGGGCCTTGCACCGGGCGTGTCCGAGGCGGCAGAAAGGGTCTGCCGCGTCGTGTCTGCCCAGCCGGAGCATAGAATTGCGCCGGTGCTCGATGCTCTTGGGGTAACCGTCTCGCCGCAGTTGGTGGCCGAGGTTCTCAAGAACCTAAGCAACGCTGGCATTCTTGCGCTTGCTTTCTTCCGATGGGCAGAGAGGCAGCAAGGCTTCAGATACTCGGCCGAGGGATTCCATAATTTGATTGAGGCTCTCGGCAAGATCAAGCAGTTCAGGCTGGTGTGGAGCTTAGTGGAGGCCATGCGGTGCCGGAGCTGTCTGTCCAAGGACACGTTCAAGATCATTGTCAGGAGGTATGCCCGGGCCAGAAAGGTCAAGGAAGCTGTCGAGACATTTGAGAAGATGTCCAGTTTTGGGCTGAAAACAGACTTGTCAGATTACAACTGGCTGATTGATATATTGAGCAAGTCCAAGCAAGTGAAGAAGGCGCACGCCATCTTCAAGGAGATGAAGAGAAAAGGTAGGTTCATACCTGATCTCAAGACATACACTGTCCTCATGGAAGGCTGGGGCCATGAGAAGGACTTGCTGATGCTCAAGGCAGTGTACCAAGAAATGCTCGATGCAGGCATCAAGCCTGATGTCGTCGCGTACGGGATGCTAATCAGTGCATTTTGCAAGTCTGGCAAATGTGATGAGGCTATCAAGGTGTTTCATGAGATGGAAGAGAGTGGTTGCATGCCAAGCCCTCATGTATATTGTATGCTTATCAACGGCCTCGGTTCAATGGAGAGACTCGATGAAGCTTTGAAATACTTTCAGCTTTCTAAAGAAAGTGGGTTCCCCATGGAGGTGCCTACGTGCAATGCAGTTATTGGGGCTTACTGCAGAGCCTTGGAGTTTCATCATGCTTTCAAAATGGTTGATGAGATGAGAAAGAGTGGCATTGGCCCAAATACCCGTACCTATGATATTATTCTTAACCATCTTATAAAATCTGAGAAGATAGAAGAGGCTTATAATCTATTCCAGAGAATGGAGAGAGATGGCTGTGAGCCTGAGCTCAATACATATACAATGATGGTCGGTATGTTCTGTAGCAATGAAAGAGTTGATATGGCCTTGAAGGTATGGAAGCAAATGAAAGAGAAGGGTGTCCTACCCTGTATGCATATGTTTTCAGCGTTGATCAATGGGTTATGCTTTGAGAACCGGCTGGAAGAAGCTTGTGTATATTTCCAGGAGATGTTAGACAAAGGAATTAGGCCACCAGGTCAACTTTTTAGTAATCTGAAAGAAGCGCTTGTTGAAGGAGGCAGAATTACCTTGGCACAGGAGGTGACTCAAAGGTTGGAAATGTTACGGAGAACACCAATGCGTGGTTGAGTAATCAAGCACATAACGTAAGACGGCATCTTAGCTCTTTTGACTCTTTAGTTTGTCAGAAAACGGATGTCTCATTTACAACCTACATGATACTACTAGTAAGGTGCCCATGTGTCTGCAAGAGGTCATCAACCTCATGTTCGGCCGTATCTTTATGCTTCTCAGGCATCACATTCGACTGCATTCATGAAGAATGCGCATCTCCGGTCAAAAAAAAAAAAAAGGAATGTGCATGAATGCAGCAGATTTTTTCCTTCCTTTGAGTATGTCTAAATACGACCGAAGACATCCATATATCTATCTACATCGATATCCATTGGAGCTGACATGGCATGATTGTGTGGCAGGATGGGAACTGGGTGGTAGGCGCGTTGGCCTGACTGTATGCAAGCAGCAAGCTCTTATACCGTCCTCACTTGGCTTGGCCGGGCCCTAAAAATGAATTTGTATTTCTTGTTTAAAATTTACTCCTGAAATAGTTTACATCATCTGTATTGTATAGAGGGATTGAACTAAATAAAAGGCGCTGGCTGCTCAAACGTTTCAAATTCATAAAGAAGGTAAGCAAGTTACCAAACCAAATTACACGTTTCAAATTTATAATGTGGATGGCTGAAATTTTGTTTATGACAACCACAAATGATTTAACTATTACAAAGCTCAAAAGTTATTTAAAAAAAGCAAAGAGATGCTGATAAAGAAAGTTCTTTAGAAATCGTACCATTTGGTAAATTGGGATATGTAACATGGCCTAACATAGTGATAGGTTCATTGGAAATCTTGAAGAAAAAGGGCCACCAAGCCCCAAATATCACAATGCTGCGGAACTAAGCTTCACGGTTCTGTTTTTCCAAGTTGCAATCATGTGTTCTATATATTTCTACCTAGATTGAATTTAGAGATTTGAGCAGCTCAACAAAATGGAGACACATCGCAATTTACTGTATATAAACTTTATAGTCATACAGGTACAAACTTATAAATGCATCGACATCATGAGTGAATTACTAACCACAAACATTTTTTCTTTAGTATACTGTACACGGTAACACGGGTACGGTACATTACAAAACAGACAGCTTGAATTCGATATCTCACATGCCATTAAGTACGGAGTACTACCCAGGATCTTTCTTATTTCAGGGACAGTGATATAAGATGTTCTTCCATGGGTGTCCGTTTTAATTTCAATAGGACATTGCTTATTAACTGGGACCTGCGTTCTGGTATGATACAAACACCTTCAGTTCTTATGCTGCATTCTACCGCTCTCTGCACCAGCATAAGGATCAATGATAACATTTATCACCGCTGGCTTCCTGGCACGAAACGACTCTGAAAGGGCGGATTTTAGCTCATCTGGTGTCTCAACAAGATAACCTTTTCCTCCAAAAGCTTCCATCATTTTATGGTAACCAGCAGCTGGAACGAAAGAGGTTGGGGCAGGATCATCTTTGTACGGTCCGGTTATCTCATCAGGGCTTCTCCGATCACCGCCATAAACTCCATTATTGTTGAAGACAATTACAACAACAGGCAGCTGGTACCTTACCAATGTCTGCAAAGTGAACAACAAAGTATAAACGTTAAGGTACCTTTAGTACAATATTGTGAAAATAGAACATAGTACCGCCGATAATATATGACACCATTGTTTTCTTTAATTCGTTTGACTGTCTTTTCAAGAAATATGCAAATAGACAAACATACACGGCACGTTTAAAGTACTATTGATGACAGGTCTAGTGGTACTCTTTTCACTTAACTAAGTAACTGAATAACTAGTGTAACTATTGATGACAGGTCTAGTGGTACTCTTTTCACTTAACTAAGTAACTGAATAACTAGTGTACTATTGTTGGTCGAAGTTTAAGGAAAATGTCAATGGTGCCATATATTTAAAACCAGAGGGAATAGCTATGTACTACTCTCTTTTTATTAAAAGTGCAACTAGTTAGCAGGCACAGAAGCAGTGAGGTTTTCTCCCATCTTTCGGAGGAGTATACCTCCCTACCACTTAAGAGGCAAAAAAATTAAAATGGCTGATCTAATCATAACAAGAGGAACAATTGACAATATTTGGCACATAAATATTAATCACACTATATCACATAATTTAATTTGCACAGTTCCATTGTTGCTTGACCCACACATCGGCCAATTGATATCCAACTATCAAGTAGTAGTAGCAAACCACAAATTCTCAAACAGTTATTAATACTCGAAGCGAATTATTGAGCATGAGTCCTACACCCTACAATTTAGGAGTGCTCCACTAATAATTCATTGAATGGGTTAAACACAACTATATACTAAATCATGTCATCTTATAAATTTATTATTAAACAAGCTATACAACTCCCACATCAGATATAGCATTGAGAAGAACATAAAGCTTGGAATGGCCTTACCTTACAGCTGGATTTTAATTAATAAATTGAAGCATATCATTTTGTTATAATGACAAAAAATGAGCATTATTAGTTTCAAGAAAATTATGTGCATTAATGTAAGAAACAACAAGGTTAACATAAATACAGAATTGCATGGTTGCCAATTGGCAATATTTCCAGATAGGCCTCTCGTAAAATGCTGTAATTTTAGGTTCCCTGTAAAATGTATAATTTAGGACTAAGGGTATCCTGAATTTCTGATTCTTTTTACTTCGATATTACGAAGGTACAACTACGATCAACATATAAAAAATACGAGTAAATTTCACTTTGGGCCACATTTTTTACCGATGTTTCACTTTGGATCACCCTTTAACCAATGTTTTCACTTTGGACCAGGTAACCTTGCCATTGTTTCACCTTGGACCATCCTCAACTCTTTTATCCATGTACATCTAATTTGTCATATGTCAAAGAAACGGTCTACAATAGTGATCAATTTGAGTTGACATATGACAAATTAGGGACCAATGGTACAATAGTGATCAATTTGAGTTGATAAAGGATCTTCTACCTTTTTATTTAAATATATACAAACAACCAGTGCGTTGGCTGTGTGCCTTATGGCAGAAGCCGGTGATGTAAAAACATTTTCATTATCTAAAAGAAATAATACAACCAGCACAGCTATAAATGATACATGATTCTTGGGAACGCTATTTAAATGCCATGTCATCTTTATCTATTTGTTAGAGGATTTTATTTGCATGATATCCCAATTTCATAACTTAAGGGGATTTGTTAGCTCATTGTAGTTGGCAGTCTCATAGTTATACTAATATTATGACAGGTAGTTATTACTATATAGAATTGTCTGAATAGTTTTGATATCATGACATGCTTAATCAACTACTTTTTGCATGAGCAAAAATGAATATCACTTGCACCGCACAACAGCATGGCAGGAGCAAAAGTAAAGAATATGAGCCAACAAAGGTGCTAATAATAGCATTGTGCAAATTAAATCAAATAAATTGTGAATTGTGGTAGATGTTTTATTTGTCAAAGTGGAACAGGAATGCCATTATTCATACCTCAACCTCCATTGCACTGAATCCAAATCCAGAATCACCCTCCACAGCAACCACAAGTCGATCAGGCTCAGCAACTGCAGCTGCAACACAGAATCCCAATCCAACTCCCATTGTCCCCCATGTACCTGCATCCAGTCTAGTCCTCGGCTCGTTCTGCACAAGCACTGCCCTGCCGACATCCATGGTGTTTGCCCCTTCTGAGACCACTACAGGAGCAGGGTTTCCCTCAGCAAGTATAGCATCCCGGATAATCCGCAAAGGTGTCAGGAAATTGAATGGCACAACATCCTTGGCAAGCTGAGCCTCCATCTTAAGAACATTGTCCCTGGCCTTCTTGGTGATTGCTTCAACCCATGGGTGTGATGGTGCCAAGCAGAATGGCTGGTCCTTGATCTCCCTATTGATAAGCTCCACAACTCTCTTGGCATCCCCAACAATTCCAACATGCGGCTTCCGGAGCTCAATCTCCTCCTCGCAGACATCCACAAGTATGAATTTCACATCTTTGGACCATTTGGGTGGCTCACCGAAGTGAAGCAACCAATTAAGCCGAGCACCAACGACTAATGCCACATCACATTGCCCAATGGCGAGAGAGCGCGCCGCGGTGGCCGACAGTGGGTGCGTGTCGGGCACAACACCCTTTCCCATCGGCGTCGGGAGGAAGGGGATGCCCGTGGTATCCACCAGCTTCCAGATGGCGTCCTCAGCGCGAGAATACGCCGCGCCCTTCCCAAACACAACCAGAGGCCGCTCCGCGCGGCGGAGCAGCTCCGCCGCCTTCTCGATTCCCTCGTCCAGGGACTTGTGCTTGGGTGGAGAAGAATCGGATTTGGCCGAATCGGCGGCGGCAGCGTCGATGAGGGCGGCGGCCTCCGATTCCGTGAGGGTTTGGTGGAGGACGTCGGATGGGATGTCGAGGTAGCAGCCGCCGGGGCGGCCGGAGACGGTGGCGGCGAGGGCCTGGAAGACGAGGCGAGGGATGTCGGCGATGGTGGTTGCCTTGACGGCGATCTTGATGAAAGGCTTGGTGGCGGCGATCTGGTCGAGCTCCTGGAAGTCGCCCCTGCCGGCGTCTGGCTGGGAGCAGGAGCCGGAGACCATGAGGAGCGGCCAGGCGTTGGCGGTGGCGTGGGAGAGGCCCGCGAGGCCGTGGACGCAGCCGGGGCCGGAGACGGTGAGGAGCAGGCCGGGGGAGCCGGTGAGGAAGCCGTAGGCGGCGGCGGCGTAGCCCGCGGACTGCTCGTTGCGGAAGGCGAGGAAGCGGACACCGGCGGCCGCGGCGCGGGACGCGAGGGAGGTGACCGGGATGCCCACCACCCCGAACATGTGCCGCGCCCCGGCCGCGGCCAGCGCGCGCCCGGCGAGGGCGCTGCCGTCGACCTTCATGGCAGCTGGAGCGGCGGTGTCGGTCGCCATTCCCTCTCCCTAGGCTGGCTGCCTGGCTGGGGTTGCGTGCCGTCGCCTGAGCAGCTCAGGCTTATAGCGGGGGCGGTCGGGGGAGAGCCGGAGAGTCGCCGCGACGGCGACTGCGACGGCGACGCGGCGACGCCGCAGTTGAAGCTGGAGGCAGGCAGATGAACCTGCTGCTAGGAAGTTGGAAGACGCGGTGTATCTGGACGAGACAACTCCAAAGAAATACTCCTATCCTACTCGATCATAGTACACGTCACTCGGGCACTTGCAGACTTGTTTGACCAGAGTTGTCAAACTGCCGACACATCGTATCTGTTTTTCGGAGGCGCATGAAGCGTCCGATTTTAGCAGGCAGTTGATCGAAATTGTTTCACCGGGTACATTGTAAATGTCAACCAAATCAGCTTATGGAACATTTTGCTATAGCGTATGAAACAAACAGTTTTCAAAAAAATCAGACGATGTTTCACCCTATATAAAAACATTGTTTTAGCAAATAGCGAAAGAATGTTTCAATTCGCTGCAACATATGATCCGTATATAATGAAACATTACGAGTACACTTGCTGAAACATTGTTGGTGGAAAAAAAAACGAAACGGATTCCCTTAATAAAGCGTTTCCGTAACTGTGCATGAATTGGGGTGTGTGGTGACGGGTGAGGACGGCGCGGAGGCGCAGGAGCGCGGGAGGACGGGGCGTCTGATGCATGTGTGCCCGCATCAGGCGCCCGATTTAAAGAATTTTCGCTGTTTTTCTGGCAAAAATTTCATGTTATGGGACTGTTTAGATCCCACCCTAAAATTTTACACCTTGTCACATCGAATATTTGAACACATGCATTAAGTATTAAATATAGGCTAAAAATAAGTAATTGCACATATTGCGACTACTTTGCAAGACGAATCTTTTAAGCCTAATTGCTCCATGATTTGACAATGTGGTTTTACAGTAAACATGTGCTAATGAGGCTTAATAAATTTGTCTCGCGGTTTACTGACGGATACTGTAATTAGTTTTTTATTAGTGCCCGAACACCTCGTGCGATACCCTATATAATATCTAATGTGACACGCCAAAACTTTACACCCCTAGATTTAAACACCCAGTGTCACTGAAAAATGTGCCATTTGAGATGCCACCTATTTTTAATTTTTCATACTGATCATTAGAAATGTTTATATCTTTACTACTTAAAAAATTTGTAGTGGTGGTGGTGAGTCCTAAACGATCAAATGGTTAACATTCATCGGAGGATCCTCTCACAGGCATCAGCGGATGAGATTTTCTCCCACGATCCACCCATCGCACCACTTCTCATCTCCCTGATCCGCATCACGCTCCCTCTCTCTCCGATCCGTAATTTCGCATCGCACTCCCCAGCCCCCCATCCTTCCTCCTCAGCGCGCCGCCTCCTCACCCCACCGACGCGCCGCCTTCCCATCCCGCCCAACCCGCGCCTTCTTCTCCGGTTGTCCTCCCTCCGTATTGT